TAAAAACTAGAACCTAGAGCGGTGAGCTGGCAAGATGGCTGAGTGGGTAAAAGTGCTTGCACCCAAGGCCTACAACCCGAGTTTGGCTTCTGAGATCTACGCGGTGGGAGAAGAACACTGATGGCGTCAGTCATCCTCTGACCTCCACACGCGAGCCACAGCACAGGCGTGACTCCCTGCCCCCAACAAATAATTATTACAAATAAAACTTTTCGAGCAGTCTTTTGGAAATGAGAGAATGACAGCTAACTCCACTGAGAAACAAAATCCACTTCATTTTCAGGAATTCCTATTGTTTATCCCACCTTATATTAATTTTAGGTAAGTAATAGGGAAACAAGGTAAAGTATTTCAAAACTGATAAAGATTTATATTTGAGTGGCTAAATATGGGCTGGGCACTATGCTAAAAGTCTCTATATTTAGATTCTTTAAGCTCTGAGGGCAAGTTTTATCATCACGATCATTTCACAGATTCAGAGAAGCCAAACTGTCCGCCGTGTCTGTACTGAATAGAACAATGACCTGAGCTAGGTCTCTAGACCACGGTTTCCAAAATGACACCAGCTGTCCACTGTCGGTGCAAGGGACATTCCTAGCTGAATGTCAATCACACCTTGGAACTTCAGCAATACCTTTTGGGGTTGAGTAGGATCCACCATTTCCCAAGGTTCTGGGTTTCTTTTCCGATCAATACTAAAAATAAAAGAAGATTCATTAAATGAAGGTAAATGTGTTTATACAAACCCAAGAGAGATTGGGTGTATAAAACATCCAGGGACCGATTCGGTCTCCACACAGGAGCTGCTAACTTTGGTCACCGGCTGTAACAGCTGAAGTGAAAGACGTGTCCACTGAAAACTCAGGGTTTGCTTCGAGCTTTAAGGAGCCCCTCCTCTGTAGCGCAGGTAAGAGGTCTATTTGTTTTATTGGGCGGGATTGGAGACTGCGCCCACAAACACGTAGTCATGGAGGTGAAAGGACAAGCAAGGGCTGAGTTGCTAGCAGAGATGGAGGCTACACTGAACTGTGCAGGCACTGGCTCTGGGCACCACCCTCTCTGCCTGTTGTTAGAGCGCCTGTCCTCTCTGAACCTTGGACCAGCTGTAGCCAGTCTCAGAAATATCTCTTCCTTGCATCCCAGGAGACAGAACCTAGCTAGTACTTTCCTTTACCCAAATTGAGAACAGAGTTCATTGCAGATAGCTGAACGTTTCAATTCTACCACAGTAGGAGAGAACTTTCTCATTGACATTTGAAACCTAAAGCAATTATGCTTGATGATATTTTTTTTAAGTTTTTCAATTTTGACGGTTAAATTTAAAAAGAAATCAGATTTTACTTCGCTACAGGAGAGTCGAGGGTTCAGATGTAAGAAACAAATGCCACCGTCTGTCAGCCTCTCTAACACCAGAATTCTTTTTTAGTCCACACTTTGGTGTTCTGATTCGTAAGAAAAAACCCAGACACTGACGGCATGTGTTTCAGAATCTGCAGGCGGGAGAAAAGCAGACATCCCTACGCAGGAGGCATTAGTACTTACACCACGTCGGTTTTTTTCAAAGCATACAAAGCGAAAGATGAAGCTCCAATGGCCGCCACGGATATGATAAACGCCAAAGGAATGAGCTAAGACAGAACAGGTGGGGGATAGATTCAGTATGAAACCTCTGAAATATAACAAAATAGTATAAAAATTCAAAATCTTCACCATCTTTTATTTCTTCTCTAGAGAGAGAGAAAAAAAAAACACTCAGAAGTTAAGATTTACCGGTTGCTTTAAAAACTTACTTCCTTATTTTTCCACAATCTCTGGAAGATGCCCATGATGACTTTAGTGTAGAATTCCAAATCTAGAAGAAGGAAAAATCCGAGATACTGGTCAAAAACATCCTCCCCTGGGGCCCGGGGAAACCAAGCCCTCCAACAGACGCAGAAGGCCCGGGAACTTTCCAGAAGGAGACGCACCTGGGGCGGCTGTGGCCGGGAGATGTTAACGCCCAGCAGCGAGCCGACCTTATATGCAGCCAACCGCTTGGGAAGGGCCGCGTTCTGGTCACGCGGGGACCGGTCCGACGGACGCGCACTGAGACAGCTCACGCGCGCCCCCTGCAGGACGGTCTCGCAGCGCGGCTGCTGACCGCGGTCCTTACCCGCGGTCCACTTCTTTGGTCCCCATAGCTTTCTGTCGGTCCTGCACCTCCAAAAGTCTGGGAAATTCCCGTGTGATGGCCAAAGCCTGGGTGAAAGGCACCCAGCCCTTCTAAAAAGGAGGGACTGAGGGAGGGGTAAGGAAGAGCAGGGGCTCCAGAGTTGACTGTAACCTTTCCTGGAGTACCAGGAAAGGATGCTAGGTTCAGGGCGGAGTAAACTGGACCAAATTCAACCACATAAAAGTTCTAAAACGTGACATGTCGCACACGAAGATTGCTAAAAAGTAAATTGTAAAGTTCATATAAACTCCAACGGAGTCCTGATGCCTGCCCCCCCCCCCAAAAAAAAAGTCAGGGTTAAGGGAAAAGAAACAAAATTCAACTGCAGAAGATTCCAGGTGTCCTTTTCTGCTGTGGACTCGAACTGTTGGCTTCATCTTTGGGTTCCCCCAAGCTCAGAAACTTGGGCTGGCAGTTTGCTTTGTAAATAATTTCTCTAGGCCAGCGACTTGTTCGCCACTGAGCCAGATTCCTGGACCAGGGCAGAGAAGGGCGGGGCGGAGGAGCTATTCGACTCAGAGATGTTCAACGCATGCAGCTAGTGAGTGGTAGAGATGGAACCGGAACGGAAGTCCGTCTCCCAACACCAGCACTCTTAGTGCACCCTAAGTCAAAACAAGCTTGGTACTTTAAAGGTGTTTTAAATCACACTGACGGTGAAGTTGTGTCAGTGGGAACCCCCAGCTCAGGATGTACTGGAGTATCCAGACTGTAGCCCCCGAGTTGCAGGATAACCCAGTACATTTACAGATGATGACATTATGCCACAGTATCAAAAAGTTGGATAATCCTGTGGCTTGGCTTAAATTTCCAGTACAAAATCCTTCCGCAGTAAAGAAACTTTTGGCAGGGGCGTGGTGGGCAGGGGTTGGGAACAGCTGTCTTACTACAGCCTAGCCCAGGCTAGTCTCAAACTTAAGATTCTCCCACTCAGCCAGGTGAGTGTTGGAATCACAAATGTGTGCAACTGAGCGAAAAGAGAACATCTTTTAAATTTGTATTTTATTTGAGAATTTCACTCAAGGTATTTTGAGCATATTCACCTCCACTCCTCCTCCAGTTCCTCCTGGATCCATCCCTACCTCCCTACCCTCCCAACTTCGTGGGGTCCTGTGCTTGTTTGTTTGAAATAACTGAGTCCAGATTGTGCTTCCCATATACTCTGGGGTATGCGGTCATCCCCTGCTGGGGGCCACATCCTTAAGGAAAGCTGATTCTCTTGGAAAAACCATTGATTGTCTATAGCTCGTCAGTTAAGGGGGGCTGTGTCATGAACTCCCCACCCCTGTACTAAACTGCTGATTAGTTTGATCTTCCTCGGGGCCTGTGGAGGCACCCAGCTACCATGAGCTCAGGAGTGTGGTGGTCCTGTCATGTCCAGGAGACACTGTTTAGTTCTAGTCCCCCATATCCTTACACACACACCCCTCCCCCATGATGATCACTGAACCTTGAGTGAGTACGATAGAGATGTCCCATTTGTTACTCAACTGACAACTTGGCCTCTGTATTTTAATCAGTTCTGGGTGCCTGCCCCAACAGTGTCCACTGCACAACAATTCTCTCCTGAGGTCTGAGAGTTGCACCCATTTACCAGGAGAGAGATGGATTTAAGGGCAGTGATGCTATGTCTACTAATCATAGGAATCATAGTAGACTCATCCCTAGGACCTCTCTCCAACTCCCAATGCTAGACACTCTTAGAGCCTTCTGTAGCGAGGACAACCTGACTTACACATCCGGTCATGGCTGTTGGGCTCTCTCCCATGGAATGTAAACTTAAGCAGCAAACGCCCTAGCTTCAAAAAATTTTTTAAATAATTTGTATTTTATATACATGGGTGTTTTGCCTGCATATGTCTGTGTGAGGGTGTCACACCCCCTTGACAGGAGTAACAGACAGTTGTGAGCTGTCACGTGGGTGCTGATACTGGGAGTTCCAGGTATTCTTCATGCTAGGGACAACTAAGGCTCTAGGGCAGTCTGAGCTCAGTCCAGGGGGGAAATGAATATCACCAACGATGCAGAGTGCACTGTGCCTCTCCAGCGGAGAGGATGAAGAACCACGGTGACACAGAACATACACCCAAAGAAGTGCAGACGTGCTGGAACTGACTGGTCTACCCAAAACTGCTCTGTTTCTAAAGACGTTGAGGACAAGAAAGACCGAGAACTGTTTCCAAGTAAAACATGGAAGGACGCATCACAGCTAAACCCAAGGTGTAACCCCAGACTAGATTGTCTGAGAGAAAAAGATGATTACGTGATGATTATGTAGGCCATGACAGGGACAGAGAGAGGAACTCCCTGGATACATTAAAATACTGTATTGGTGTTGAACTTCCTGAGCTTGGTGAGGGAACTGCATTGTGAGACAATGTCATTCGTAAGACGCATGCACTAAGCACTAGCTAGAACGGAGGAGGAGTCGGTGTTTGAGACAGAGATGTATGACGGTGACCTCCCAAGGCTTTCCCTGGCGGTGCGGTCACTGTCGTGCTTGAATAACCGCGTTACTCTATGGCGTTCAGGACAGAACCGCCTAGTGACACACTTCTTAGTGTCCTCCCCAGTAGAGTGATGCATAACTGTATCCCAGTCGCCAACTGTTCAAAAAACTGTGTGTGTGGAGGAAGGACAGAGAACAATGACGAAATGCTAAACGGAAGAATCTGGGCTGGAGAACGCTGAAGTCCTCCGTCCCAGTCCCGCAACTTTCCTGTAAACGTGAAATCACGTCAAAGCCACAAAAGGCAACCAAAAAAAAAAAAAAAAAATCACACACACACACTTTTTATTAGTGTTTTAATATACTTTCTAGAAGTAAGATGGTGTTTATCAGGGCAAGTTTCTCAGTCTCTCTCTCTCTCTCTCTCTCTCTCTCTCTCTCTCTCTCCTAGGAAAGTGTGAAGTCGCAAACCATAAGAAAATGAAAAACTGAATTAAAAAAAAATTAATTATCTTCCAAGGCAGAAAGTCCTTTCTTAAATAAGTTTTCATACACTGTCAAGCTTTCCCGACTCAAGGACGGCTTCACAGTCCTAAGCGATTCCCTGAAGTGCTCTTGTTTCACTGAGGTTGCTTCCAGTCCGTTCTCTTGCAGAGCAAACAAGGCAGCCTGATGACAGAGACAAGCAAGAGAGAACAGTTAATTTGCTTCGTTTAAAAACTAACAGTAACGTCAACACTGCAGTCTGGCTGTAACCCTTTGGCCTCACGTCAGAGGAGTTCAATGCCATCACAAACATTAAGCTAGAAGTTAAGGTGCCTAAAAATCCACCCTACAGCACAGTTTTGTTTTGTTTTGGTTTTTCAAGACAGGGTTTCTCTGTAGCTTTGGAGACTGTCCTGGAACTAGCTCTTGTAGACCAGGCTGGTCTTGAATTCACAGAGATCCACCTGCCTCTGCCTTCCAAGTGCTGGGATTAAAGGCGTGCGCCACCACAGCCCGGCTGACCAGTTTTTTGTACATTAAAAAACTAGCTGTAAATGGGCAAACTGCAGAATAACATATACTCTGAGTCCACATATAGTTTAAGATGAGAGGAACCTTAACCTGAACATAGGAAAGTTTACACAGCACTGCTCATAAAAGAAAAGATGACATGTTTTATGGCTCAGCAAGTCTCCTTGTAGCCATGTACATGTATGGAAGATGAAATTCCAAACTTCATGGCAGAGTGTAGAAACTCAAAGTTCAAAAGCTATGAGGCGACTTAGGGCAGGATAGGGCAGTATTGGGTCTCCAGTGTAGAAGTGGGCAGTGAGGTGATCTTTGTGGAGCAACAGGGGACAGAGGGTAAGAAGGGGCCTAGGAAGATTCTAAAAGTGTGGTCACTTCACAATCACTCACTACTATATACTTAAGATCTATGCGTTCTTCTGAATTTTATATTTAGTAAAGTTTACAGGGGAAGAAAAACCTACAGTGACCCCTCTGCCTCAAAACAAAACAGCACAAACTTACCTCTTTGCAGAGGTTTCTAAGATCGGCTCCAGAGAAAAAACCCGTTTCTGCCGCTAGCTTTTCTAAGGAAACATCAGGTCCTATCGGCATGTTGTTTGTACAGACTTTTAAAATAGAAAGCCTGCCCTGGAACAAAACCAAAGACAAAATGTTTACAATCCTTAACATTCATGTTCAACACAGAAACATTAAACATTTTAAGTTCAAATTTTTTACCATATGACAAAGTGTGTGTGTGTGGTGTATATATGTGCAGTGTGTGTATTTGTGTGTGGTGTGGTGTGTGCAGTGTATATATTTGTGTGCGGTGTGTATCTGTGTATGTGTGGTGTATGTGGATAATGTATATATTTGTGTGTGTGGTGTCTATGTGTAATATATTTGTGTGTGTGTGGTGTGTGTATGTGTGGGGGTTCATAATCAATTAAAATCGTTCTTGCTTTTGAAAGAGAGAGATTGAGTCATCAATGGTCCACACAGTAATGGTGAAAAGTAGTTCCTTAATTATGCTTGAAGTAGCCAATCATAACCATTTCTTCTTATGAGACAAGATGACTGTCTTTTGGGAACAAATACCACTATCAGAACAGTCTTAGAAACAAACACATGAATTATCAGATACATTAGAAGCATCAGATATTACTTTAAAAAAAAAAATCTCTTTAAAACTTGATAAAAGCCCAAGGAAGGAAAAATTAATTCTTGGAGCCCTTCACCATCTGCGGGTTGCTCTGTGCATCTGAGAGTGAAGGATTTCCTGACAGAACGCACTGCAGTCCCTGCAGCCCCAGACACTGCCAGAGCCTTCAGCGCCTCCTCCATCCCAGTGCACAACAGCACTGCTGAGACACCAGAGTCACTTCCAGGCATGCTTCCCTGAAGGCACGGACAGACACCAATCAGAGAGAGCACGAGGCTGGCCCGTGCCTGGAACTCAGGCAGATGTGGGTGCGCTGCTGAGTGCAGAGGAAACAGCGTTACCTCCTGATCAGGAGGGGGGACATAGATCATCTTATCCAGTCTTCCAGGCCGCAGCAAGGCCTCATCCAAGACGTCAGGCCTATTGGTTGCCACAACGATCATGACATTCCGATGAAGAAGCTCTTGGTATTCTGTGGGAAAGCATATAACACAGAGTCATGTCAACAAACTGCTACTCATGAAAACGCTTTCAACTAAGTCACACATGACAAAGTGCTGTTTCAACAAGGACAACCTCTCCTCAGAGCCACGATGCTCACTCGCCATCCCAGACACCTTCCTGGTACCAAGCCAGCCCACAAACAACTCTTAATCGAAGAGCTACCTGTGTGTCTGAAAGGACAGTAGTCCTGACAGGTGTTTCTCTGTGTGAGAACCGACAAAGGGCCAGATGGAAGGACACCTGGTGCCCAAATCCACTCAGGCCCCCGATGGACAACTATAAACAGACCGCTTACAAAGGCAGCCTGCGTGGCTAACGGGGGCCATGACGGTTCTGGAAGGTCCAGCTTTCTGTGTCCCCAAAGATGGAAATTTCATCTTTTTTTTTTTTTTCCAGAGGCAGAAATGGTCAACCTGCGCTGCAGTGATGCAAACCCTGGATGAGAAGCAACATGTACTTCTGTTTGAAGTGGGATCGCATGGACCCCTGGCTCCCCCCAAACTCTCTACCCAACAAAAGGGACCTTAAACTTCTGCTCCCCTGCCCACACCTCCCGAGTGCTGGGTGTCCCAGCACAAACCAGCACCCCTGGTTTTGCATAGTGCTGGGATAGCACTCAGGGTTTGGTCAGGCCAGGCAGTCACTCTATCACTGACCTACATACAATCCTAAGCCCAAGAGAAGAAACGGTTAAAAGCAAGACACAACAAGGCCTAAAATCAAAACCATTCATTGAGTTGGATAATCCAAACAGTTCTCCAGTGTTTACCCCTCAAAGCAGCAAGTTTCCCAGCATGCTAACAGGAAGCTGTACAAGGAACCCCTGCATCATGAGATCAGGTTATGTGGGCCCCTTCTAATTGTAGTGTGCTTTATTCCTACTGAGTGGTTAAGATGCTCCTTCTGTGGAATAACTTAAAAATGGGAAACAAACAGGAATATGATTATAATAAATCAGATATTACCCACTCAGGACAAGAAACCACTCTGTCTGAAGCAGAGGCTCACAGAGGCAGAGGACTCACTAACTTCACTAGCTTTCAACTACTGAAGTTACTCAAGTACTAGTTTGTTTTGTAGTTGAAGGAGGGTAAGTCCTTCTCAGGATATATTCTCATATTCATGAGAATAAATTCCCTTCTCCGTTAAGTAAGATATATTTCTCATTCTTTGGAAAATAAAATTCACATCTAAGATAATTATAAGACTTTTCACTTATTCTGCCCAAATCACAATTTTTATCAGTCCTATAAAAGCCCCGAGAAGTCAGTGGCATCATATAACCCTCCAGAAGATGGATCCAGCCTGGGAAATGCAGTTGTGTGGGAATGCTACCTATTTCTGGCCTGGGGTTACGGTGCACCCTGGCTAAAGAAGAGCCCCAGCTCCTGGTATTTACCCTGGTGGTCTGATTTACTCCCTCTTCTCTCTACCGTCCTAACTCCCACACCATCGAGCTCATTCAGCAGAGCTGAAAGAACTCGCTCCCGAGCATCACATCCCAAGGTGCCGACTGAGCGAGACCCCAGGACTGAGTCAATTTCATCCAAAAACACAAGCGCTGGCGTATTGGCTCTTGCTTGTCGAAATACCTTAGTGAGGGAAAAAAAACATAACGTCACACGCCATCCGGTGACTATTTTCACTTTGCTATCTGCAAACATTAAAACAGAAAAAATGAAGACTCTAAGTGCTTAAGACCTGGAAAATTAGTAAATAAAAAAGTCAGTGATAGCCATTAAAAGTTGTCGTCTTTAAAGATATTTAACACGGAAGTGATAATGCTCTTTTCTTTTAATACAGGATTTCATTATGTAGCCCGGGCTGGCCTGGAACTCGCAGAAATCTGTCTGTCCTGAGCACTAGAATTAAAGGCATATGCCACCACACCTACCTGATAACAAATATTTAACTTTAAAAACCGAGAGAGATGGCTCAGGGGGCTAAGGGTGCTTACTGCTCTTGCAGAGGCCCTGAGTTCAGTGGCTAGTACGTACCCACACTGGCGACTCCAGTTCCAGGGGAATCCAGCATCCTCTCTGGCCTATGTGAGCACCTGCACACAAGTGCACATGCCACACATGGGCACACACATGTGCAATGATTTTTAAAAACTAAAAATAAAGTTTAAAAAAGATAAAACTTCAGATTGATAAAACCTCACTCAACATTATTCAAAACCAGAGAGAAGAAATACATGAAACAGTAGCAGTGGGTGGAAGAACTATGGGGAAGAGGGCTCTTATTTTAAACTTAAGCATGTATAACTTTTACCACTGGGGAAAAGACAATACTTAAAAACAAACGAACCTGAGACAAGACTTTCTCCGAATCTCCAACGTAAGGTGAAAAGAGGTCGGCTCCGCTCACTGACACAAAAGAGCAGCGGCAGCTTGTGGCCAGGGCCCTCACCAGAGTGGTCTTAGCACATCCAGGGGGGCCATAGAGGAGAAGGCCGGTTGGCTGTTTCAGACCCATCCTAGCAAACTCCTGAGGGAACTTCAGAGGCCACTCAACACACTGTCAACAGGCAGAGAGATGGAGATGTTAGTATACCGGGCACTTCCCAAATCCCTCCCCTCATCGGGCACGTCCCAGGGCTGGTTGAGCTGAAATAGCCCCCTGTCCTCAGCAGCCCAAGGACCCAGGTCCCTACTACTTGGTTCCATCTGCATCCAGTGGCTTTCACTTGGGGTACCAAGCTATGCCTGAACATTCTCCCAACAGTTCTCTGTGGCTTTTCTCTTTAAACTTTTAATTATCTTTAAATTTGTGTTGTCTGGGTCTGCATATATGTCTGTGTATCGTGTGCATGTCTGGTCCCTGCAGAGGTCAAAAGTCACTGGATCCCCTAGAACTTTAGTTATAGATGGTTATGAATCACCATCTGGGTGCTGGGAACTGAACCTGGTCCTCTGTAAGAGCAACAAGTGCTCTTAACTGCCGAGCCATCTCTTCAGTCCCATATGGCCAGTCTCTATCTCTCCAACCTTACCACAAATTACCTGCTTGGAGAAATCTTCCCCAAGGATCCTGAGCAGAAAAACACCTTCTCCCAGCCACAGCCTGTACTGCCTTCCATTGTACTTAGAACATTTATAGTTCATTACTATTCTTTTCCCATGTTGGGTTGGTCACTCTGTTCCCGCTACAGAATCAGCAGAGTTCACGCCTCAATCCTCAAGACCCAGAGTAACACTTGCCTACAGCAGGCACTCAATAAATGTTACTGAACAGTGAAGAAGTCTTAACCGCTCGAAGGGAAATAGCTTTATGATCATTTTACAGACTCGGAGACTCAGGCCTATGAAAGTTAGACGTGAACCTTACTACTGGTGAGTGTCCAACTTAGTGCTGGTGAGGTGGCAGGACCAACAGAGACCTCAAGGAAGAAGGGTGGCAGGTGAGAGCTTTGTTCCAAGGGAGACAGACTTTTAAACTAACTCGGCCAAAACAGGCACCCCAAGGAGAAGGGATACTACAAACAAGTGTATGAAGCCATCGAACTGACTGTCCCAGCAGTGAGCAGAAGCAATGGAGGTCAAGTGGGGGTGGACCACAGTGGGCCCTGCAAGCTCTAACTGACAATGCAGAAATATGTGGAGTGCTCTAGAAGGGAAGGAAACTGAGGCAGGGCGATCAGTCAGGTCAGAAATCTCTTGCAATGATTTAGGCCACAAAAATCCAAAAGGCTGGATGTACCGCAGGCAATGAAGACAGCAAGACAGACTCGTCACCAAAACATGAGGAACTGCATTTCACAAAGTTCTGGCACCATACTTCTGACGGGAAACTGCTTGCTGGCTGACCGCAGCCACCCTGACAGGGAATCTTAGGTGTGGAGGTAGCGTTTTTTCAAGATAGAGTCTCACTATGTAGCTCTGGCTATCTCGAACTCACAGAAATTCATTCAACTGCCTCTGTCGCCCACATGCTAGGATTAAAGGCATGTGCCCTATACCTGGCATTAACTGGACCCTAGACATGTCACATTGGCATCCCTGTGGTTATCTAGCAGACAGATAGCTAAGCAGTCCTGATGACCTCAGAAAAAGTCTATTCAAGACTTTTCAAGTAATGGTGAAACGGTCTTAGACACTGTGACCATCACCTTGGACTGCAGAAAGGATGTCTAGGGTTGGAGAGATGGCTCCGTGCTCAAGAGCACATGTTGCTCTTGCAAAGGACCTTCCTAGGTTTGGCTATCCAATCCCAGGGCATCTGACACCCTGGTCTGTATGTGGTGACCACATACACATGCAGACAAAATACAAATAGGCATAAAATAAAAGTAATTTTAAAAAAAGCTGTCCATGAGTCTCTCAGAGCACCAATATTTCAGGGAAGGGAGAAGAAAGGCGGGAAGTGCCACAGCCAGGCTAACAGAACACAACAAAGGGGCATGGCTGATGTCTTTCAGGCATGAATTTTGGGACTGTGAAATGAGACAAGCCCATGGGAAAGGCTCCCCACAGCTTCAAACCCCAGCCCCCAGGAGGAATAGCACAGTATCTGCACATAACCTGCATCTATTTGCTGTAAATTACCTCCACCACTCATAATAATGTAAATACCATGTACATAGTTGGCATATTATATTGTTTAGGGAAAAGATAACAAGAACAAATGCTGGATCTGTTCAGGGCAGACAATAGTTTGGACAGCTGGTTGTATCCACAGATGCAGAACATTGGAAACACAGACCAAACGTTCTCGTTTACAGGCTCCAACTACAGTGGCAAAGGAATGATTGACAGCCTGCATGTCTCAAAAGTTAAAGCATTTACTATCCAGCTTGTCACGGGAGTTCTGCCGACCTGTGTTCTAGATGAGAACGAACTCCTCAAAACAAAAGTTTTGAGAGAGGGTTAAGATGGGGAAACACAAACTAGATTTGATGTCTGCAGAGAAGAATTCGGGTAAGATGGCAAGTGCATCTGATTGCGGCATTTCCATTATAGACACAGAATGCTACCATGAGACTCAGCCGGACAAGCTGATTAATAACCGTTACCTGTTTTAACTTCAGCTTCACGTCGTCAAGTCCCCCTATCTGCTCCCAGCCAACAGGCTTGATGTCCATCAGCCCAATAACACTTCGAAATGATGAGGGCTGAATCTTTTTCAAAGCGTCAAGAAAGTCCGTTTCGTCAATCTGAGGACTGTCATGGCTCTGAAGAAACCCCAAGAGAAAAATCAAGCCAAAAATTAGGCAGGCTTTTGCTATAGGATACACATATAACAACCTAAAGAAAAAAAATCTCTTTTGAATGTATAAAGCTAATTACCACTAGTCTCAAGTTCAAGCATCTCAGACAATCATCTCCTCAAAGTGGAAGTGCTGAGCTCACAAGGTCCCAGGCCTAAATTCAGACAGTGACAGCTGTTAAGGGACTGTCCTCTCTGGAAGCCACAGCCGCTCCTGCCCCTATGGCTACAGGAAGCTGTTTTCCCCAGAAGACTAACAAACTTTTAAGTCTGCCAGGATGTGACAGGAAGAAATGATACTCAACATTGTGTTGATTAAATTTCTTCAAACAAGAGTGAAACAAGTAGAAAGACATGGGTGTTCGCGACTTCCTATAAACGCTGTTCTGAGTAGGAACAGGAGGAGAGGACATCTTCACGCTTCAAAGCATCTCCTCATAATATAGCTCCACGGAGGAACCGTTCAGTATTCAGTTCCTAACACCAACGAGCAGCTGAGGGGCCTCGTGCTCCACATGGTAAAGACACAATCCTGACTAAGTACTGTTCCCATCAGGGTTGTATACCTGGAATCTGACCATTCTACAAGATAACCCAAATCACTCCTGTCAAAGTCACAAATCTCAGATTTAAAAAAACAAACAAACAAACAAACCAACCAAAAACCTAAAGTGGCCCCTATAAAACAAAAAACATGCTCATACACAAATGTGAGAGCACACACACACACAGACAGACAGACAGACACACACACATGATGGACAAGAGAGTATGGTAATACTAACTTAGCAATATGTTAAAAATTATGGATCTGGATAAAGGGCCTGTTTAAAAATTCTCTGTAACTGTTTTGGAACTTTCTAACAAAATTAGAATGATTTCAAAAATAAAAAGTTAAAAAGAAAGCTAACAGGAAGTGACTTCTAAAGAAGCTAAGCAGACTGATCCTATTTCCTGGTGTTTTACTGTCTGTATCTTTCCTCTCAGGTTGCCGCTCTCAGCTGTCCCTGAACCTTCTCTCCATATGAAAATATTGGCCCCGAAGTCCTTTCCCTAGCCATGTCTGCAAGTTTACTTATCTGTCCAACTCCAAATGTTCAAATAGCAAGTCACGCCCTTATTGGCACTTTTCGTTATACTCAAAGGCCATCTTCCCCTAACATTAGGTATTAATTACGATTTTCTTGATCATCCCAGTGAAGCACAAGTTTTGTTTGCTCAAGGCTTCTTTGGATGGGGGTGGGGGTAAGTGGAGGGGATGGGAGGAGGGTAGGGAGTGGGAACGGGGACTGGTATGTAAAATTGAAAAAAAAATAAAATAAATTTAATAAATTAAATAAAATAAATTAAATGACAAAAAGCTTCTTATGTTCATTTCCATTTTACCTATATTATTGTTAAGTAATTTGCTTTCAGATCAACTGTTAGCAGCTTTCATATCTAAAGTGCTATTTTGGGCAAAGCTCACTTTCTCTTTATACTCGGCTCTCCTGTTGAGTTTCGGTCGTGTGTTTGACAGGGACACATTCTGACAAACTTTCGTCAGCTGATTTTGCCATTCATGTGCATTTGTTCCAGTGTTGATGAAAAGACTCACGGAACACATAACCATCGTTTTCTGTTTTGTTTCTTCGCTCTACTGGCTTGCGGTCTTAAGACTCTGGGCACGGAATACTCATTAATTTTAGATATCATCACCTAGCGTCTGAAGATCTCCCTTCACCACTGCACCCCCTCCACTTCATCTGACTCTCTGCGTCCTTGCAGGCATATACATCCTTTCGTCTTCTGAGTTCACTAAACTGTGTTCCTGATCCCTTAATTGGACTATTTCCAGAAAAACGTTAATGGATTCCTTGTCTGCCCTGGTACAGAGCCTCTCACCTGCCTAGGGGGAGAAGAGAGATGAGCCAGATCTTCCCAGACGTCTCTGCCCCTTCTTCCCTCCAACTTCCCTTGGGTTGTTTCTGAACTCAGCCATCACCTATGGAGACTAGACCCCTCCTCAACAGCAGTGAGTGGCTGGTCCACCTAAGCCAGAGACGCTTAAGATGAAGCCTAGAACTTCAAAGGAGAGGAAATCCAAATGCGCCTCCCTTCCCCTCTTTGGAACTCCCACCCCTTCCCACAAAGGACACACATTCTCACACCTTTACACAGGATCTCATTAAAACTCTAGGCAGTTTGGTACCAAATTCATTAAGATGGGAACTCAGAGTGCATCTAACTTCTTCCCACCTTAGAATGAAAATGATGCAAAATTAGGAAAGATATAAATTATTTAGTTGAAAATAATTTAGGATGATGCTATGAACGACACTAAAATGTCCCAGAATCCTCTGCTGTTGAAACTATTGTTTGCCGAAGAGGTTTAGGGACTCCAGTTATCAGATACTAAATGACTTGATTTTTAAATTAACAGTATTAAAAATATTACATTTAAGATCATCCTAAATATTTTTAAAGTAATTATAAACTCAAAATTTGAAAATCAGTGACAATCTTGAATAAAATACAATTCCAAGTATTCAATTTCTCTTGAATTAGAAAACTTCATTTCTCCCATAGACATTTATCAATAATAAAGAAAAAAAAAACCAGTCTCCTGGCAATGAAGAAATCTTACAGATACCATCTTATTCTAGAAATCGAACGCTGAAGTTAATTGTCAGTGGCTAAAATTCTTGCTGTGGTATCATGGCTGTGGATTATTTCTAAATGTTTTAGAAAGACACGCACACATGTAAACTCAAGCACACAAAGAAAGAAATGAGAAGTAGTCCAGCAGATGTCACGACTGGAGCATCCGGAGAAAAGCTATACAAAAGCTTAGTCCTACTTTTGCACCTTTCTGTCTAAGTCTCAGGTGGCTGCTTAAAAAATTTCAATTAAATCTGTCAGATTCTTCTGAGGGGCATTATCTTTCCTGGCTGGTCTGGCTCTAGCACTAGGGAGTTCCTGTGGCAGCGACGAAAATTCACTGAACAAACTGCCTGGAAGACTCAGCCATTTCCTCATCTTCAATCACATGTTTACACAGCACTGAGATGCAAATCTATGATATAAATTCATATACATATACGTTCCATACAACACACACACATACATACACACAGAAGTAGCCGTGGAGACTACCAACCATGCCAAGGAGCTTACTGTACTTACCACCTCTTCAACCCCAAATTACTTTGTCGTATCACCAGGAAAGATGAACACAGCTGGTCATACGTCAACACGTCTTACCTTCTCACTCTTAAGAAGGGCACACATGGCAGCCTCCCTACAGAGCGCGGTCAGGTCGGCACCAACGTAGCCAACTGTCATTTCTGCCAGGAGACCTAAGTCGATGTGACTGGAGACGGGCATCTTGGAAGTAATCACTTGCAGAATTGTCTCTCTTTGTTTAAGTGTGGGAGCCCCAATGACGACCTACAGGTAAAGCAAAACATAGAAAAATTAAAACGATACAACTTAAATCCTTCCTTTAAAAGCATCCTCACAAATCTGCCCGCCTGCATCTGCCTCCTGAGTGCCAGGATTAAAGGCATGTGCCACCACCGCCCGGCAAGGGTCTCTTCTGTAATGACACTCTCATAACTATTCTTTGTCGTCACATCTGGTAGGAGTAAAACTCAACTGAGAAATTTTCTCAATCAGATTGGCCTATGGGCATGTCTGCAGGGTTTTCTTAATTGCTAATACATAATTCTGGAACTTGTATCATGACCTTTTTAGCACACCTTAGATTTTGAATATAAGAAAACACTAATTGCCTAATGGACCAACAGAGGCTGGGAATTTGATCAATGAAAATTACATATTTCACTGAAGAAGTTCTGGATGACAAGGATCAAACAATAGGCCAGATCTTCCAGGTCCTTGCTCTTTGGGAGAAGGGCCTTTAATAAGATGGTGCAAGGAAGAAACCCACTCACGGCCTCAAAAGAGTTAAGCAAAAGCATGCAATTGCTACCTCTCTGTAGAGTCTTACCACAAAATTCACGTATTGCTTAATTACTAGTTATTCTAACTATTCCTTAGCAATAAAAAAAAAATCACTTGAAGACCAAAACTCGTAAAACAAGGCAGCTGTGAATATTCAACTTTCTTGACAACCCAGGAAGTCAACTGTAGAACAGGAAGCTGGTACCTTGACACGGAATGAATATATTAAAGGGCTGATGTCTGTTTTTGTTTGCCTTTCCTGCCTTCTCTTACTGTGACTAGGTTTTCATTCCCGTTTCAGTTGAATATGCTTGCAACAGGCTGAGCTACCTGAAGACTTAACATAAACATTAGCAAAACAAAGCTAATGACCACCCCGCTTTCCAGAATGATCTTAAAATAAGTGGGCTCTGGTTCACAAGTCACAAACCCTGTCTGACCCAGCTGTCCAAAAAGGTGAGCTTCCAGGGACAAGGGGCTCTTAACCAAAGCGGGCTATTTACCTCTCTGTCAAACCGCCCGGGCCTGCGCAGCGCTGGGTCTAACTCATCTGGCCGGTTGGTGGCTCCCACAACCACAACCTCCCGGTCCCCGTGGATGCCGTCCAGCAGCGTCAGCACCTGGGCCACTACCCGGCTCTCGGGGGCTCGCCGCGGGCCGCCTCTCCGGGGACACAGGGCATCCACCTCGTCCAGAAAGAGGAGGCTGGGCCCGCGGCTGGCCAGTTCCCGAGCGCGCTGGAAGACGCGCCGCACGTTCTCCTCGGTCTCCCCGGGCCGGGCGCCCTGCAGCGCCGGGGCGCTCACCGCAAGCAGCTCGGCGCCCGCCTCGCGCGCCACCGCCCGCACCAGCTGAGTCTTGCCCACTCCCGGGGGTCCAGCCAGGAGCACCCCGCGGGGCACCGCCAGCCCAAGCGCGCCCAGGGCGAGCGGGTAGCGCAGCGGCAGGCGGAGCAGCTCCCGCAGGGAGGCGGCCGTCTCCGACAGGCCCCCCAGGGCCACCTCCTCCGGGGGCTCGACCTGGGGCGGCGGCTTGTCGCTGAGCGTGATGCGGGTGTGCGGTGTGACCAAGCCGGCGGGCTCAGGGTCCGGCGTCCCGCCCACCACATGCAGCGCGGCGACGGGGCCGGGGATGCCCGGTGGGGTGGCCACCACGTGTCCCCGCGACACCGGCCGGTGACGCAGCAGCTCGTGCGCTACCTCCAGCACCGCATCGGGGCTCGGGGTTCCCGCCTGCGGTCGCAGCACCGGCCACACCGCGACCCGCCGCAGCGGCGGACAGGGCACCGGCTGCAAGCTCTCCAGACTGATTTTCCCCGCTGCCGTCTCGGCCCCGGGGCTCGCGCACTGCGGGTCCAGCTGCACAAAGCCGTCCGCCCCGTCGCGCCGGGGCCAGGCCGTGCAGAGGCAGCAGCCGCCGGCGGGCAACGTGATCCTCAGCGGCGAGCCCAAGCGTGCGCCCAGGCTGCGGAAGGCGGCCGGCCCCAGGCGGCAGCGCTGGGTGCCCCGGTCCCGGGGATCCACCGGCAGCAGCTTCAAAAGCTGTCCGTCGGGAAAGGGCCCCGAGTCCGGAGCCATGATTAGGAGAAGCACGCCCGGGAGAGCCCGGCAGCAATTTTACCCGGGTGCCGGATGCAGGCGGCGCGCATGCGCCATGAAAGGACAAGAGGCTGATTGGCTGTCGAAAGGGCTTATGGGAAAGTGAAAAGGCTGGGGCTCCATAAACTTTCCAGAACCCGCGCTGTCCCTCCCGCAGCCTTCGGAGACGGCGTGAACTGGCGTCTGACAGACGCAAAGCCACCCACACTAGGGCATAAACACGTACCTTGGCTGCTACATCAGTGTCAGGTCTCTGCCTTCTGAATTTCCAATAAGAGTTTGCATTTTTGTGAAGTAAAGATAAAACTGTGGGAGGAGGGGACAGGCTGCTGAGGTGTAAATAAATTACCTGTCAAGTTAATCGTGATGCCCACACCTTATGAAATTTATTTTTATTCTCGTTCCAAAAAGCTCATAGCGTCTAGACATGGGAAAGGAGACCTAATATAAGACATAATAACCGTCTTCAATTTGTAAAGGGGCGGACGTGAAAGTTAGCGTCCTTGTGGATGGCTGTGGTATAGAACTGATCAGGAAATGAAAGTTTAATGGGATGATCTTAAGAGGTTTTCTCTGCATATTTTAGCACGGTCGCGTGAAAGGTAGTCAGTGGCCATGGCCGATGCCAACAGAGGGAAGTATACACAAGGAGACTATTAGAACCGCTCAAACCTTACAGTTGGCTGCATTGATTTAGCAGAGGTGGAGGCTATGCTAATAGGGCTATGAGGTGGAGGAGAGTACGTGTTGTTTTGTGCTGCGTGGAGAAGTTGACCCCATCCAAGGTCAAACTATAAAGTCCTCTGACCTTAGCCAGGATGTACACAGCTTCCCCACGGGAACACCCACTCCTGTCCTATGTCACAATTATCAACAAGGGGTTCTGTTCCTAGGCCTTCGACTCGTCGCCCGTCCTCAGGAGAACTGCAGATGTCTCCCAGTCAACCAGTAAATCCATCCTGCCCCTTTGAGTCAGACCATTCTTCAGTGTCTTGTTTCGACCATTTGTACATCTAAATTTATCATACCTACAACGACAGAGTCTTGTAGAAAACCATTCTAAGCTGGGTGTGGTGGCTCACACTTGTATTCCAACATTTGGGAACCTACCTAAGGATTATCACAATTTCCAGACCAACCTGAACTACCAAGTGAGGTTTAGGTCAGCCAGATCTACAGATTGGGAAAATGAAAGAAAGAAGGGAGGGAGGGAGGAAAGGAAGGAGGGAAGAAAGGGGGGAGGAAGGCAGAAAGGCAGAGAGAGAGAGAGAGAGAGAGAGAGAGAGAGAGAGAGAGAGAAGAAAGACCTTGAAAAGAAAAGCATTATTATAGTTCTGTGGTCTTTTATTTGTTCACAGTACCCTAAATCTGGCAGTTCTTTGTGTGAGCACCATCTAAAGGAACAAACTCATGCACCACTAGAGGGAGCCCAGAACCAGCAACTGAAGCCTCAGGCCCTTGGAGGACTGGGCATTCTCTACTGAGGCTGCCGCTAGGTTCTCCCCATTGTTCATATCCAGTTGTATGAAATTGCCCATAGTTGCTATTGATTGTCTTATTATATTGCCAGGCTACTGTACCAAATCACTATAGGCTAAGCAGGTTATAACAGGCAATAACAAATTACCTTTTTACAATTTTTAAAAATTAAATTGTGTGTGTGTGTGTGTGTCTGCGCAGAGTCCAGAGGCACTGGATCTCTTGGAGCTATAGTTATAGATGTCTGTATGACACTATAGTTATGGATATACCACTGCATGTGGGTGTTGGGAATTGAACTCAGGTCCTCTGTAAGACGAGCAGTATGCATTCAACCCTGAGCCACTTCTCCAGCCCTTTTAAAGATTTTTTTTAATTTATATTATTTTATGTGTATGAGTGCTTTGCCTTCATATATGTAAGTACATGACTTGTGTCTGAATATTTACTTATAGTTTTAGAAGCTTAGAAGACAAAGATCCAGGTGCTGACTGAATCAGGACAAGACGGGGCTACTTTCTAGGTCATGTACTTTACACTCTTCCCCCAGATAACAGGAGGAAGCATCTAACTCTTTTGCTGTTGTTGTTTGGGTTTGGTTTGTTTTTTTCTGAGACAGGTTTCTCTGTGCAGCCCTGGCTGTCCTGGAACTAGCTCTTATAGATCGGGCTGGCCTCGAACTCACAAAGATCCACCTGCCTCTGCCTCCTGAGTGCCGGGATTAAAGGTGTGTACCACCACCGCCCGGCAAAGGTCTCTTCTGTAATGACACTCTCATAACTATTCTTTGTTGTCACATCTGGGAGGAGGGGACCTCAACTGAGGAATTGCTTCAATCAGATTGGCCCATAGGCTTGTCTGCGGAGTGTTTTCTTGATTGCTGATCAGTAGAGGAGGGCCTATTCCACAACTTTGAGGAGAAGTTGATAGCTCAGACTTGCTAGTCGTTGATAATATTAAATACAGTCTGATCCCACAGGCTGAGCAGAAACAGAACCAGCCTAGAGATGGGGAGGTGACTGTCTAAAACTGGCTTGTTCCTAGTGTTTCATGGGTCTCTGTCCCATTAAAGTTTTCTCTGGTTATTTTCTACATTCATTCCAAATAGGAAGTGCATTCTTTAATTTCCACTTTCTAAGATACTGGTGCCAAGGAGAGAGAGAGAGAGAGAGAGAGAGAGAGAGAGAGAGAGAGAGAGAGAGAGAGAGAGCCTTCTTTGCTAAACAGTTATGTTTTACTGACCAAAACGACCTCTCTGGTTAGTGTAAACCTTGAGAGAGAAGAGAACGAGAAGGCTTGTGACCATTGGGACTGATAATAGGAAGGCTACTTTGAGGAGAAGTTGATAGGCTGGCTTCTAACGTAGCAAAGCTGAGGACAAAGGGAGGAACACACAGGTTCTGAATTGCTGAAGCAGAGCAGATAGGAGACTTTCTTCAGAATAGCCACAGTGCTCCTATTATTCCCGCTGCTGAATGCCCCACTTGTCCATTGTCATGAAGGCCGCTGTTCTCCTCCCACTCCCGGGACTGTGCAGGAGTAGCCACAAATGCCTAGGCGTTTTCCAAGATTTTACTGGCCCACTTCTTTCTGTGTTGTTACTCCCAGACCTTCGCTGCTTTAGAATCCAAGTAAACACGATCATGCTCCAGAAACGTGAAATCGTGGTTGACCTGTTTCAGGACCGCTGGACTGGAATCCCGTTCTCCTCGGTGTTCATCCTGAACTACTGCTAGCACTTGACGTCATCCCGTCTTCAAGGAATTGTTCTTGAGAATTCATTCAACCACTCTAGGCAGAATTCTTAGACTTTGCACAATTATTGTGATGATGAAGAGATATACTATTGCAGTGGCTGTAATTATGGTCACTCACCTAATGAGGATACTCCCAGATAATTTATTGAAATTTCTTTTGAAAAATTGAAGCCTTCTTGGCATGGCACATGCAGCTCTGCTCAGCAGTGACAGCCGTACTTGTGCGTTTACTGGATTACAGGTGTTATTACACTTAATCCTCCCAGTAAATTTGGGAGGTTGGAAATATTTCTGCCCTATAGATGAGGGAACTGAGGTATAACTTTGCTAAAATTCACAAAGCTAGTGGGTTTCCAAACAAGGATATGAAATCAAGCAGATTGGCTAGACCCAAAGTTCTCACTCTGAACCAGCACACTGCATTCTAACCTGAGCTGGATGTACAAACAAGGTCCTCCAATTAATAGTTTGTGACCTTAGGCAAAACTTTAAAATTCTGCACCTAACTTTAGAATAAAACTAATACAAAACTCGTAGGTTCATTTATTTAACCAATGTTTCTTGACCTCTGCTTTACCTGGGCTGGATTATATCAATATCATGATGATTAAAGTTGCTTAATACAAACTATTGGGCAATAGTTGTGTCTACATTGAAACATTCCTTCCTGGAAGGAAGAAGGGGGCTGGTAAGAGTCTGCAAATAAATGAAACATAAAAGATCCAGTAAATAAAATGAAATAACTTACAAGGCTCTAACACGAGAATCACGAGGCTCTTCCTCAAGATTTTAAGAGCAGTAAAGAATTACTGGGGTAAGAAGACTATGTGCAGCCGGGCGGTGGTGGCGCACGCCTTTAATCCCAGCACTCGGGAGGCAGAGGCAGGCGGATCTCTGTGAGTTCGAGACCAGCCTGGTCTGCAAGAGCTAGTTCCAGGACAGGCTCCAAAACCACAGAGAAACCCTGTCTCGAAAAACCAAAAAAAAAAAAAAAAAAAAAAAAAAAAAAAAAAGAAGACTATGTGCTTGGTCAAGCTGAATAAATCATGCAGGGAGCTCCCAGGATGCAGAGTTTAGGAGCTGTCACCCCTGCTGAGATAGGCTTCTTGTGATGAGGTGCCGTTGAGTTATCTATTGTCCTATAAGCAACCCATCACCCATATTCTTGTAAAACACACAAACAAGCAAACACCCCATAAACTCAATATTTCATTATACCAGACCTGGATAGAATCATTTCTTAGGTCTGTTCAGGCATTTTAGGTAAATGCCCCAGGGTGAATAGGCATTTGCTCACTTGTCTTCAGGAAATGTCATGCAACGTGATTGGTGAGCAAAAACTGACAACCAAAGATGAACTAGGGGGAAACATGGTCCCCGTGATGAGTGCATGCAGCTAGAACAGATCCACATGAGGGCAAGATGTTCATGGGGCAATCCTGACATGCCTACTTTTCCACGTGGCATGGGACAGTAACCCTCCATGATGTAATGGTAGTTGCGTGCTCTCAGGAACAAGTGACAGGCCATGTAGCCAACGCCAAACCATTTAAGACTACAGTGTCCTTACAAGGACTGATAGAAAGGCAAGGGACACAGTACTGGGCCAGTCCATTAAACTGGAAAATCAATTCTGCAACAGGAGAGTATAGTCCTGTCCCTCTGCTTGAGTTTGAACCCAGCTAGGCAGTGCAAGGCTGCCCCACTAAGATGGCCAGGGGTGGGGAGTATGCAACAGCTCCATGATAGCAGTACCCCAGGATCAGAAAGCAAGATATCTCATGGAAACAACCGGTCGTGATTCACGTTAGCTTCCCCTTAGCTGCTT